CAAAACCCCAAATTCCAGCACTCCTCAACACTGCCCTCAGTGCCCTCTTTTAACCCATCCCTGGGGGCGTTGGCCCACTGATTTTCCCTTGTGTTATTGCATTTTAWTTTTTTGTTTAATGTTATTTTGTTTGGTGTTTTTTGTTTATGATATTATTTTGTTTCATCTGATTTTACTTTTACTTAATCGATAGATTCGATCGGGTTGGATTCGCCTTCGTTTCTTTTTATTTTATCTAAATTRTTTTAATTTTTTCATTTATTTTAAATATTTTATCCTATTTTTGGCTGAGAAGCAAACCATTTTCTCCCCTCATCCATGTTCCTCTCCTTCCTACTCCTTGCCAGCCCCAAAACATTTCTGGGGTCCTGTAGCGGCGCTGCCCCATTATCAACACCGAGGAGAATGGGGGGATCCTGGCACTGCCATCAACCCCCTTGGTCAATGCATCCCCTCCAAGAAAAAGGGTCACAAATCCCTCATGGGGTGAAATCTCCTTCTCCCGACCCCAAACCCCCATCCTTGGGGTGATTCCCGGGGTAATTAGGACCCTCTGCCCCTAATTGATGGAGCGGCTCTGGAAGCGGCGCCGGCTGCGGTGCCAGCGGTTCCTAAGTCCCAATAATTCCGCTGCTGCCTGGAATTTGCCTTTCATATCCCCTGGCTAAGCTCCGGCGGGGCGACTGAAATTATGAAATGATTTCYCCCCCTCGCCATCCCCTGCTCCAGCCTCGGCGAATCTCGCATTAAACCGGGATCAGGGCAGATTAAACTATAATATGCTGCGGTATTAGCGRCTGCAAATGAAGACTTAGCCCAGGGGTTTAACCCCTTCGCCCGACTCCGACTCCAAAAGGCAGTGAAGAAGTGATTCRTAATCATCTTTTGGGCCATCTTGTGGAGATAAAATGGTGGAGCCAATCGCATCGTGCTGGTGTTGCCTTAAAAATCAAGCTCACCTGAAACAGAGGCCAGATAAACTTAAGAGAGTGAGAAGAGACAACTTTAATCCAGGCCTAACAGGCCCCTTGGTACATTAGGGCAGACAAAGCCTCCTCCTCCTGAGGCTACACCCAAAATGGACCCCGAGTCACGAGATCTTCACCTTTTATAAGTTCTGCCTTATTAACATATTGAGCCTCAATTCTCCAATGATATCTTCATGATGTCAATCACCCCAAACTTGCTCCTCCCCAGCTCGCTGTTGTTTCCATATTTTGGGGCTCTGAGGCAGCGAGGTGTCCTTGGATTCAGGCTCAGAGAGGGATTGTTTTTGTCTAAAGATGGAAGAGCAGGAGCTTAGCACTGCACTAGAGAAGTACAAGAATACAGATGCATAAAAATACAGAAACTGAAAACCCTAAGGCATCWTTGGGATGACTGGAGTGCTGTGGGAGACCATTCCTGCAGGAGCAGGAATTTTGCTTTTCTGCCAGGAAAGACTCCATAAAACATTTTTGATTTTAACCTGCACAGCAGGAGCATCTCGTTGAGGCTCACACTAAGCTGTGGCCTTCATCCCCACATTGTCYACGTGCTCTGGTGCTGTGTATTTACATTTTATATTGCAACAGTTTAGTGTCACCGTTGGTGAGATCGGTGAATATCAAGARCTATAAATCTTTGTTTTCAAGATCATCTCATGGTAAGAAAGAAGTGGGATTTGGCCCATCTTTTTGGACTTGACAGAGGTGCAAAGAGACCTTTTGGTGGAATAGTAGCCTGTAGCAAGGTTGGTCCATAGAGCGCTGCAGGCAGGTAGAAGTCCCCACTCATCATCTCCAGCCAACTGAGGCAGGTGAAATACTGCCATCAATGAGCAGGTGTTGATGTCCATCCTTGAAAGGAAAAGAGGAAAAGCCACTTGGACACAGATGGCTCCAGGGTATCTTGGCTGTCCAAGACAGCCTTTCTGCCTGTTTAGGAAACGCTGACTTTGGTGCAATGATGGAAAACACAAAAACATTGGAACAAGTCATTGCCTGGTGGARCAGACAKTGGATTTTACAGTTTTTAAGCTTTTTTTTTTGGTGCTGGAAGAGATCTAAAGGGAGCACTTGTGGTGTGACTTGGGAGTGAGGTTTGCACCATCAGGTTCTTACAGACTGGGATGGATGGATGGATGGATGGATGGATGGATGGATGGATGGATGGA